GCATGTTTATTTATATGTTCTTCTGTATTTGAGATCTTATATATCTTCGTTTCTTCTTGGAACAATTCTTTTTCGACTTTCATTTATTTTTATACATATAAAAATACTAATATACTGTATATATATATAATTTCTGTCTTTCTGTTCTCACCTAAATAATTAAACTGTTCTGCGCTTGCCCAGCCCCGCTCCTGACAGCATAATACATATACACATTTTTTGTTATTAGTAGGAATACGATTCGTCCTTTGAAGTACCCCGTATTTACGTCCGAGTTTTCTTATTTACGCCGTTTGATTTTTTGCATTGAACACCATCATACAATTATACAGCAATTGCAAAACACATTCTGAATTTTGGGTTAAAAGTACCGAACACACACAATTTACAGACACAATCCTTCTGGTCTGAGTGCTGTTATTTGGGAAATACAATTACTATGTATTACTATCCATACATCTAAAATCATTCGTTGGACAATCCTCCATTAATTCGTATTCGTACTTCATATTAAATACTGATCCTTTATTTTATGAACGAACCACATCTGGTATTTTCCTTCATACAAACAGAAGACATCAATTTAAACAATAACATTTATATGAGTATATTGGAAAATCAAGCAATTAATGAAATGAGACCCTATAATCTTTTATTATAAGTTGGAGAGTTTGTCATAATAAAATAGAGGTCCCTCTTATAATAAATTATTACTGCAAGATTTTTCCTGCGCAGATCGAATTGACTGTCTACCCTCGAACACTAAAATGATATAATAATATTTGTAAATCAGTTACATAAGAAACATAACTTATTGTTATATAGAAGACAGCTAGGTGACCCATATCCGGCACTTCTGGTGCATTATAGTTTGTCTATTCAATGACAGAGTTCTAAATTGGATTTATAAAATAAATTTATGAGAAACTAGAAGCTTCGCCAGCTTCTGAAAAATCATTAAATAAAAAAGACGATGAAACAGAGAGTGAAACAGATTGCAAAAAAGAACTGAACTTTATTAAACATAAAAATGCGGGTTTCTTTTATACACTAAGAACACAACTATTTACAGCAAACTAGAAGAAAGCTACCGTGGGTAGGTTATATTGACATGTTGTCTAAACTGTCAATATCCCGCAAGGTTCATCAAGGATAACAAAATAACATTCTATAGCTGAAGTAAATATACACAGTGGCGGACTGGGTGGTAGAAACCCGCAACATGTGGTAAAAACCCGCAACATTTGGTGGTAAAAACGTCCATTTTATACCACCGAATGTTGCGGAATTGTGGTTCATTTACCACCGGATGTGGTAAAACTCCAAAATTATACTACCTAATGTTGCGGGTTTTTGCTACATGTTGCGTGTTTTTACCACCTAGTGTTGCGGGTTTCTTCCGCATGTTGCGTATTTATACCACTTCTAGTAGCTACTAAATTCCACTTGATGCGTCTTTTTACCATAATATAGCGTCCTTTCACTCAAAACGTAGTACGTACGTTATTACATCACTTTAACTATATTATTATTGATGCTGATGAACCTTTATACTGTTGCGCAATCAAGAAATACATTATATAATAAAAAAGCAGGGTTTAAATGAAAACGTTTTATTTTATTCAATTTTTATTTTGTATTTTACTTTATTTATTATAATTTTTGTACCTATCATCTCCAAATTGATAAGGTACACTTACCTCCGTAATACTTCTTGCACTTACCTCCATAATACTTCTTGCACTTACTATTAACGGGCCCAATTAACACCATACTAGCCAAACAGACTCCTATAGATACAGGTAACATTCGAGAGTCCCGCGAGATGTAGCAGTATATAGACCAAATCATTTTATCAGCCTAAAAAAAAATGCAGCCTAAAAGAAAAAATTGCAGCCTAAAAGAAAAATTTACAGCCTAAAGAAAAAAATATAGCCTAATTAAAAAATTTTCACAGCCTAAACCTGCTTTTCAAGTCCAAAGACGGCTCGAAATCTATACAACTCTTTAGAAAAACCGTATTGGAAATTCAAATGATAATTACCTTCAGCATAGGACAATGTATACACACAAATTCTTGGTACTTTAAAGTGTAATGACATAATAACAATTTGTATTTCATATGTCATATTTACCTAGTTTGTATAATCTACGGTATCTATTACTTAAATAACAGCTCTTAAAACACGAAGCAGAATTCCGGGCTGCCTTAAAAAAAGTTATAAGAGAAAGAAAGGGAGAAAACTAAATGAACAAATTTATTAATCTATAGCAAATTATTTAAAGTGCGAATCACGCTAAAACATCTTCTACAGTAGCTGATTGTAACACTTTTTTGTAGAAGCACATCATCCATTTTTCTACGGATTTGCTCCTTATTGGTCAAAGAAGAATTATATTCTTCTTATAAAGCTTGTTTGCCTTAAATTAACTATACTCATAAGGTTAATCATTATCCTGCTGGTTCTTTAGCTGATTTGTAAGTTGGTCGTATCTTTCTCTGTAATGCGTAGACAAGTTTTATTATAATTAAATTCTTTTCAACAATTGATCTAATGACAGTGCTTGTAAAAGAAAAAAAATTTAAAAAGAGGAAAGGAAGGAAAAATAAAAATAAATATTAATAAAAAATTATATGCCGATGGTTGCGTGTTTTATCCACCATGTTGCGTCTTTCCGCAACATGTCGTGGAATTACGCAACATGTTGCGGGTTTCCGCTACCGAGTCCGCGACTGTGATATGAGTGTTACATGAATTTAGAATTATCATCCGTCATAGGCCAAAAGGTTAAAGATGTTATTTTACCTCATTCGTCGGAGTTCATGTACGTTACCGTAAAAGTGTTGTATATACTGCCGGAATACAACAGCTACTCGACCAATGTAGGATTGATTATGAAATCTGATCTCAGCTGGACATATTGTAATATCATAGATATTAAATGGGTCTTTATGAATAATCAAAGTAAAGATAGCCTTTCATTAACAGTTGAATGAGGTCGTATTTATACTTTTACGAAGCTGTGTCTAAACTAATTGTAAATCAAATCGGGATTAACTATTCAATCGTTAGTCCATTTGAATTAAATAAATGTTAATTCATGTATTGTTATTCGTTCATAGCAATCTTTCCATGATTAAGATCTCCAGTCTGTCTACTGAGATCTAATATTGGATTTCTATTGTATCTATGATTCAATACATCTGCGATACAACCCATATGATTGATCTGACATTGTGTCAAACCAATAGAAATGTATTCCAAATATGGTAGTTATAATACATAGCGTATATGTACTATATCTGAGTGCCAAGATAAGAAGTAATTACATTAGTAAAATTACGCTTCAAATACGACAAATGACAAACGCACTAGCTGTAACACGAATTGGCTTAGGCTAATTCAAGAGAAGGCGACACAAAAAGAGACAATTTGAGTTTGGTGACTTAAAAATAATACCATAAAAACCAAACTTGAAAGAGTGGCACATACTGCAAGTCTTCAACGTAACAGAAACTATGACAAATCATAGATGGAGAACGGTACACCACAGATGTTAACGTAGTAAGCTTTTAAATTGTTCTTATCCAACTACGTATCATATTTAGAGCCCTTGGAACGAAAGAATTATGTTAGAGAAAATTTTAGTGTAGAAGAGACCAAGAAAAGAAAAACGTTGTCTCGGGGAATTTCAAGTGTGCTGCAAACATCCCTACTACAAAGTACTTGATTTGGCAAATTGTTTTAAGTAACGTGTGGCTTGGATTTTTCAAGTATAAAAAAAAAAGATACCAAACTAATAAAAAGGGTTCAAGCTCTTTTAGTCTTGAAAACCTTTATCATAATCTTCTTCGACGTCAAGATGTAGCAATCTTCACCAAGATTTTCTTACGCAATAGTATGGACATTAAATCGAAGTTTGTCAGAGACTTTTAAATTACAAGATTCTCGGATCATCTCCCAATGTAACATTTATGATCATTCCCCGGATGGTACCAACTAGATTGTTCGTTGTTACCAAAAAAAGATCTCCAGGCTAGTGAAATAGTATGAGGAGATGATTCCGAAGCATTTACCCTGGTCATTTATTGTTGCTTGAAAACTCCAATGCAACATTGTAGGAATGAATCACTTTGATGGGAGGTCTCATTACCAGTTTGGTTTTCTCATTTTTGTAGTCATAGGCATACGGAAGTCTGTATGTTGTGTGTATATAGTGTAAGTTTATAATATGGTGCACGCAGTTTATAATTAATCGATTCCAACTTTTGACTACCCACAGATGCTGGAAAAGCGCTATTCAAATAATCAGACAATGCAATAGGAGTAATATTTTCGAATATACCAGTACCCATGAACCTCGTTTCATTCTCCTTACGTAATAAAAAGAATAACAGACGAAATAAGTTTTTCAGAATTAGTGCCACATAGAGAAGAGAAAAATACGACATTATAAAACAGAGGAATACTTGGCGAAACAGTGAAGGTTTGTATAAAAATATGAGATCATCTAAGAAGATCAACAGTGCCTTAGGTCAAAGATTCAGAATGGTTTTATTCCAGAAACGACTAACATTAATTATACTAGAGATGGCACAAAAGGAAAATACCATGTTGTTCATATGATAAATTCAGACAAAGTCAGTGAGAATGAAAGTTATCATCAACAAAAAAGAGTTTTGAAACTTTGACGAGTAAGAATAAGCTGAATTACGTGGATATTGAATAGTTAGATGGCTCAGACAGTTTAATCGTTTGGTCACAGCCGCAAAAAGTAAATTTGCAAAACAAATTACCTATCGCCAAAAATTATTAGAAAGATTGAGTTAGAGAAGATTTGGGAGACTTGATTTAAAATACTTCTTACTGTGAGCTCGATGTAATGCAAGATGGTCTTATTATAGTTGTTTGGGGAATGATTTCACAAGACATTATGGCAAGACATGATAAAATGAGTTAATGACATTTTGAGCTCTTGTTAAATCACGCCTTAAACAATTACATTCGTGCATGAAAGGCTAATTTCAAAGAAAGAAGCATGCGTTGTTTTCTACTGGTAAGTTTAACAGAAAAGTGGCAGCCAATATACAACACAAAAAGTGAAAAAAAACTCAGAGGTAAAACAAGGTATCCAGAGGCGACCGTAGAGATTTCGTAGTCCCCTAAAAAGATCTCATCCCCAAATACCGGTGTGATCTTTGGCAAAAATGATAAACTTAATAAATAGTGGCATAAAATGTATCTTTACTACCGGTCAAAATAGATTAAAACCACCTAACGTTTTCATATAATTTATATTTTCTATATTGTACAACTGGTGTTTTAATGACTTATCCTAATAATTTTATTTTTCCGAAGGATGTTATCGAAGACAAATATAGAAAAGAAAGTCACACACTAGCTTGAATTTTAAAACGAGAAATTTTTTTTTCATCTTTTTCCTTCCTTTAATCTTTTCTATTTTTTTGTATGGGTATATATCAACGCACGTTCCATTTCAATAGTTTCGCAACTAGACTAACATTTGCTAGTATCAATGGTTTGGTCTTTGGTTTTTTTCTGATGTGTTGAACTCTCCCGTGGTGTCGTCTTTCGTCTTGGAGTTTTTGGTAATCTTAAACATTATTAAAACTAACATAGGCTAGTATCTCTGGTTTTGGTCTTTCCTGTGGTTTTGGCTTTTTCTGATGTCGTGATCTCTCCCATTGTATCGTCTTTTGTGGTGGTAACTTTTAATATTATTGAAACTAATGTTCTTTTTTTTTCAGCGTTGGGGTCTGGGGGGTGAGTCTACAAAGTGGAGGCCTCCCCGTGGCTAGACTTGGTAACGTTCTTCTGAACGGCTAACGTCCACAATATATAGAAAATCATTATTCTTACAAATAAATGTAGTTTTTTCTTAAAAAATAATTTTTGTCTTATAAACCTTCTCGTCTGTTATTATTTTCTTTCTGTTCAACCGATTACTAACGCAATTTGGAGATGCATTGCAAAAAAAAAAAAAAAAAAAAAAATATAACAACAATCATTTAATGTGTAGTCATTCATATAAATGACATGTGATTTTTTGTTTATTTCAATACACTCCAGTTGCAGCTCTTATTGGTATGATCAACGCGTATGAGTTGTTTACATAAGACCTTATGGTACTTGAGGTGCCTCATCCAATGGATGGGGCAAATGTGGGCCAATGACCAGATTCCACATGGGTCAAAGTAATTTTGACATCCCCCCTGTTCATCTTCTAATTCTCAAGACTGGCATGAGTATACGTTAAATTACATTACAATCAATAAACTTTCTGTTCGTCTTTATCAAACAATGTGGTATGTATATCTTTTTTTTAAACCAAGATAGCTAGTGACGGATTATCACTGATTTTAACGTGACTCTGCCTAGAATCAAGACAACTATGTTACTGATAAATCGAATAGTTCTACCCGGACATAGTCTGAGGACTTCTCATATTCACAGTCTAGAAAGTTTTAATAACCGGGAAAGAGTCTTTAAGTATCACGCATATATGGGTACTTCTGTGATAATCTGGGTATGAAATTATAGTATACACATCGGGAAATTTTGGTGTAATTTGGTGTAATTTGGTGTTAACACCATTTCGGTGTAAAAATCCGCTCCCAGGGGCAGTCTGATGTTAACACCACATTACACCAAATTACACCAAATAGTGTTAACACCTAATCACATTTCATTACACCTAGCTGGTGTTAACACCTAAATCAATCTTATTACACTTGAATTATGTTAACACGTATATGCACCTAATCCCACCTTAATGGTGTAAACATCAGCTGGATGTAAATTGATGTAAATTAATGATGCTTTTAAAACCTTATTATATTTATTACAAAAATTGGATAACTAAAAATATGATTTTTATTTAAGGTGTCATTTGATAATGATATTCATCTATGATCTTCTTTGCTTCTGCGTTTTGCCTACGTAATTAAATATCTAGGTTAGTACCGGAAGACTTTTATTTCTTTCATGTTGCTCTTTACCTTTCTGTTCGGAAATTCTTGGACATTTGTGTCCATTTGGGCTGCAAAATAAATTCGCATGGCCAAAGACGAGCACAATACTTAAGAAAACCAAACCTTGGATCGATTTCCACTACTTCCTCTTGCATTGATTTGAGCATTGTCCATTGCTCAGTGCCATTCAAGGATCCCCATCCTCTGTACTTACCCATGTGATTTTGAGAAGCGAAAGCACGACAAACAGAAAGGGCAGAACGATTCAAATTCTCCATCATAGCTTCCTTGTCAGTTTCAGACAATCCTTCTACTTGTTTCAATAGCAAGATTGCTATCTCCAGTTTCTTGTCCTTGTATGAAACTGCCTTCGGTACAGTAATAGAAGGAACAGTACCAGAAGAAACAGTAGACTCACCTTGTTGGAGACCTCTTTCAGTCAAACTTTGTAAGGCTCCCTGTAAAGTGTCGATTTTATTTTCAAGGCAAATGATGTTCCTTTCCAACGTTGAACAGGCTTCATCCACCTTTGCCGTAATCATATCATCCATCGATTTCTTTTGAGCTAACAAGGCTCTTTCTACTATTGCTTCTATAGACGAGAGCAAATCGGATGTAGGTTCGATGGGTTGTTTTCTTTTCGGAGGCATATCTAGAATAAAAAAAATAAAAAGAAGAAAGTAGTGAAAATTTTTATCCCTGGTAAATAATCAAGCTGGTAATTATTAGTGTCATTATCTATTTCTGTCAAAAACAATAAAAGAAAAACAGACTCGTCGTCCAATCTTCTTTTCACACTTTCTGACACTTTAAAAAAATGGTTAAACATTACTGCCCTACTTGTCAAGAAAAAGTTAAGTTGAAAGATTTATCAAACCACCTTAATAATCATAAGGTTCAACAATCATTAAAAATCTATAGTCGAGTATCAAAAAATATTAGCATTAGTCCTTCAATAAATGGAAATAACGCAATGGGCCAACAAATCTTACAAAACTTGCAGAACACTGGCACCATGTTCGAGAATGTGTCTACAGAAACCGAAACGTACGAAGACGAACCTATGGATTACGATTACGAACAAGAAAATGTCGCGTTCGTTGAGGAATCACAAGGCCTGCTTGCAGATGAAGAATTCCAAGATCAGAACATGGATCCTGAAGAAGAATGTTTGACCCAGGAAAAAAAAGATGTGATGAAAAAATTAGAAATTTTTAAGAAAACCGTTCAAACACCGATTTGTATTGACACTCAAGGCTGCACGAGACCTCTTGATTTGACTGAAAAAGCCAGTTTGAAGATAAGAGACATCATGACAAAGCGGGCAGTATCAAAAACTGCCTCAGAAGAATTAATTGCAGCATTTAATGAGTATATGTCAGATCTTGAGCTCGGTAAATTGATAAATGTTATATCCAAATAATTGTTTATTTATGACGTTTTTTTAATAGAACAACACCTCCATTTGCTTTCACCCTACAAATGCGATGCAATCTCCAGCAAGAACATATCCAGAGTAGATTCAGATACGTACGACATGTGTCGTAACGGCTGTTACATGTTTGTGGATGATGAACAAGAGAGAGGACAGACTGAGTGTCCAAATGTTTCTTGTAAAGCTGCTAGATACACCGATAATGCCACAGGTGTACCTGTAGAAACTCATACGCAGTTATCTCTCGCAAAGCAACTCGGAAATTTTCTGACTCAACAAAGAAATGTCAACAACATCAACGCATATAGAGAAGAGAGACAATCTTCGTCCGGATCTTACAAAGATGTTTTTGATGGTAGTGCCTGGAAGAACAACCAAGATTTAGAAGGTGATAAAATGCTCTCATTGGCTTTACATGCCGATGCATTTTCACCTTTTAAAAGAGGTGCTACAGGTCAAAGTATGACGCTGTTGATGGTGACAATTCTGGACTTATCTCCAGAATTAAGGTATTGTACTGATAACATTTGAATTTGAAATGGAATACTGATTTTTTGTACATATATTTACTTCAAAAAGATTCAAGGCCGAAAATGTTCTTATCTTGGGGATTATCACCACGGAAAAAAAGCCATGGGATATCTTCAGCTTCCTTTACCCCACTTTAAAGGAGCTGATAACACTCGAGGAGGCTGGGATTTCCATGGCTTCTGATGGCACCTGTACGTATAAGGCGAAGCTTGTTCATGTTGTAGGGGATATACCTGGAGTAGCGGATCTTTGTTGTCATTCAGGACATACGTCCTATACTGGTTGCCGTATGTGTACCATTCGAGGTATGCAATCAAGTAAAAAACGGGCAATAGTTTTTCCCCCAAAAATGGACAAGGATGGGGTTTTTTTAAAAAATGACTATAGAGATTCCAATGCGTTTTGTCATGGTGATAAGGTACTGCTATATGTGACCAGGAAAAAAAGTGTAGCTAAATAATTATATTCAAATTTACTAATGATACTGAAATACATATTCAAAAGAGTGCTGGAATCAAAAAGCCAACACCATTTTCTTTGCTGAATAGCTTCCAGGGATACTCCTTCTTCGGTCTGGATGAACTCCATCTTTGGGGGTCAAACATCGCCAAGCAACTGTGGAAGATGATGGTTGACGATAAGCAGTTGTTTGGGCATGAAAACCCACTGTTTCTCCGAAACAAGTATCGTGACAACGTTGGATCCAGAATGGCCACCATTCAACGTTGTATCGATAGTAGTGCTTTAGACGGCCAGCTCATTGGTAAGTTTTTAATGGCTTGTATTTTGTTTGTGCTTTTTTATTTCCAATTTATACATCGTATCTAACATTCATACAACAGACATGGCTAACCGTGCAGGAAATGCAAGATGTGTGGACATGATTGACTTCATGCAGTACATCGTACCCACGCTGGTCGTCGAAGCGCTACAAACACAAGCAATGGACATTGTTGCAGCCGAAAAAGCACGACGCAACAAAAAGATGAAAAGAGGAGACGTGCCTGTTCCTGTTGGGACGAATCTGGTAGAAGTGCCAGAAATTATAGGCAAGACTTGCTATGCCTTGCAATGCTTGTCCAAAGTCTGTCGTATGACGGAACAATACGAAATTTCCACCATGGATCTTATTGAGATTGATAGGTAAATGTAGTAGAATGTTGTTTAGCACATAACTAACTTTCAAATTGCCTTATGTATTTATGCCTATTTACAGATTGATTGAGGTATGGCACTTGTTTCTGCTGGAGGTGTACAAAGACACGGCTTTTACGATCAATCAACATTACTTGACTCACGTTACCGAAATGATACGTCAGCTTGGACCGCTTCGCTGCTCAAGTGCACGAGTCTTAGAAAGAACGATCGGTAATGTGAAGAGGTTAATTAGATCAAGATCAAAGCCTGCCGAGAATGCTGTAACAGTGATGAAAAATCATCATTCTCTTGCTTGTCGAGCTTGGGGTGTTGAGGAATTGCAAGTGAACAAAAAAGAAATTATGACCATAACTGAGCTTTTTACAACTTCATCACAAGAAGAAGTGGAAGCGATGATGTATAAATTTCCATATCTTTCAAATCAGGATAATATAAATTATTATCCAACTTGCTGTATTCCTCGTACCAAGCAATCGCTCAGTCATAAAAGAAAAACCAAAAGATCCGTGGTGGTAGAGTTCAAGAATGAAGATGGTCGTGTTGAGCACGCTACAGGAATCATAAGTACTGTATTCAGTTTAGATGGCATCATCTTGTATGCAATGGTAACCTTAGAAGCCATGCTTTTGCATAATGGCTCGAATTATTACATGAACAGATCAAACGTACTTTCCTCTGTATATATAGCAGCCATCGATGATATTGTTGGTTTGACCATCTATATTCCTTCGATTATGAATGATGACATAGTGCATGTAATGTGTAAAGGGCTACAGTAGAATAC